GGTCAAGACCCGAAGACACTTGTTTTTACAACATTTGTGCCGGCCTAAATTTTCGATTATATCTTCTCCTTTCTCCACGTAGGGGATGAGACAAAACCTGAAGGACTGCTTCGGGAGTTTCAGGGTGACTTCTGGTCGGGGACCTATGCGCTGCACCTAGGAATTTTGATCTGTCCGTGGGAGCGGTTCTCGGCAAATCGGATTGGGAGAATTCCGATGAACCTTAGAAATCTGTGTCTACAAAACCATTCTGCTAATTTTCCATTGCACCCGTGGCTGTCATCGACGGAGAGCCAATTTTTCCGGCTTCACATGCAATTCTCTTACCTATCTCGGCACTTTCACACACACATGTCGTTGCCTGTTCCCTATCAGACCCGTGTCTACCAGATGCACCGCACTGTTCCCGATCAGATCCGTTTCTATCGGGCGTACCGCAGAAGTTTGTATCCACCAATGACCGACTGTAGTCAAATGCTCGGGGTTCGGTAACTTCAATGCTTTCAGACAGTCTACCCGTTGTTCGGACTAGATTTTGATCCAGTCGTTTCGGACACACCACATAAATCTGTGTCCACGAACATCCATCCACCGAGAAACGTGTCGACATCCCGAACACCCTCACTACCGGGGATTAGCGCTGTAGATACGCGCTGACAGTCGGGAGCGTCGGTAAAGCGAACAAAACGACGCCGAGTGGATGTCGTAGACGAGCCTGAATGATTCGTCGGGGTCAACATCGAGAACTCCCTTTTCAAACCGCAATGCCGATCAGAAAGAGCTTCCGGGCTGCTGTCACAAGAACTACGTTCTCGAACATCGTCTTCTCCGTGTTGTCGTGACGGTGGCGGTGGCGTGACACAGTGGATGGGTTGGACAACCATTTGAAGAGACGATTCACATGGAAACTGTACAACAAGACAATCACGTCAACGTATGACGAGGTCAGGGAAATAAACAAGAGGGAGCAAACTCGCATTTCTAATATTTATCACAAAACAGTGGAACAACAACATTTGAATCCATATCGTTTTGTCGAACCCTGATGTGAAGCTCAAGTGGTATCTCAAGTCTGACTTCTCTCCCACTCGTTCAGTGTGCAAGTGGTTTGGATAAGTCCGAGTAAACTCGCACTTTTTCAGGCGAGAGTACAAATGCGAGCTGATTCGGACTTATTCACCGTACAGTAAGAAATTAAGTTCATGGTCGGAACAAGAGCGAACACAAGTGCGAGTCAATTCGATCTTATCCACTAAACAACAAGAAATTTGAAGTGCCAATAAATTCGCACTTCAAAGGAACATTTCAATTACGCAAATACAAAAGGACTTCATGTTTTTGGGTCGAGAAGAGACGCGACTTATCGACTAAAGAGGAACAAATTTAGGGGGATGGTTGGTTGAAGAGCGAATAAATTCGCACTTGCAAACGAGCATTTCCGTTATGAAACTGGGGCTTATGGACTAAAGAGTCACAAATTTAGGGGGATGGTTGGTTGAAGAGCAAATAAATTCGCACTTGCAAACGAGCATTTCCACTATGAAACTGGGGCTTGTGGACTAAGGAGTAACAAATTTAGGGGGATGGTTGGTTGAAGAGCGAAAAAATTCCCACTTGCAAACGGGCATTTTCATTACGAAACTGGGGGCACAAGTGCGAGTTAATTCTGACCTATGGACTAAACAGTAACAAATTAAGGGGCTGGTTGGTTCAAGAGCGAATAAATTTGCACTTGTAAACGAGCATTTCCATTACGAAACTACGGGTACAAGTGCAAGTTGTTTCCGGTTTGTTCTGCGTGTAGTACGAGCCACAGATCGTCGCAAGAGAGAAATAAGGAAAGATGGCGTACTATTTTTTAAGATGGAGAAAGATTGCGAAGCGATGGACAGACGGCGCATCGATGAAAATACATGGAGAGAGATGGCGCACCGATTGAGAGAGATGGCGCACCAAGAGAGATGGATGGAGTCACAGTCTTCCCCCGAATACAACGTCCGGTCATTACAACTGAATTCGGGTCATCTTTCAGTCTAAAGGCAACTATAATGAACGTGCGTTGTATATTCCGGGGAAGAAGGTAGATGGCGCAGGAAGGGAAAGAGATCGCGAACTTATTGGGAGATGTGCCGCAGCGAGAGAGAGAGATTGCGCACCGATGGAGAAAGATGGCGCACCGAAGCAGATAGATGACGATGGAGATAGATTAGGAAAGATAGCGCAGCGATGGAGATAGATGACGAAGGACATAGATTAGGAAAGATAGCGCATCGATGGAGATAGATGATGAAGGAGATAGATTAGGAAAGATAGCGCAACGATGGAGATAGATGACGAAAGGTTGGTAGAGATCGCGCACCGGTGGAGAGAGATGGAGAGAGGATGCGCAACAATGGTTAGTGATGCCGCAGCGATGGAGAGAGAAGGCACAAGGATGACCAAGATTTGTTATTGCACAATGTCAGTTCCATCGAGTTAAACCTTCGTTAAGCATACCTGTGACTTGTTTCGTGCGATTCCGCAGTGATGGGCGGCTTCACCGACGACAGTCTGAAACAACAATACAATGGCGATCGCGGGATCGCGCAGGAGTGATGGAGAGCCTCTGGCGCAGGGATGGAGGTTGCCCGGTGGTCGAGAGAGATCGCGCAGTGATGGAGTGAGATGGAGAGTGATCACTCAACGATGGCGGGAGATCGTGCGGCGATGGAGAGAGAAATCGCGCAGCGCTGCGGTGGGATAACACTGGCCAGGGCTTCGATAGCGATGGCCAGCGCTGCGGTGGAGAGCGATGGCGCACCGGTGGAGAGCGATGGAATGCGTTACAATGCAGCGATAGCGATAGCGATGGCAGCAATGGAACAGCGATAGCGATGGCGCACCGGTGGAGAGCGATGGCGCAGCGATGAAACAGCGATAGCGATAGCGCACCTGTGGAGATCGATGGCGCAACGATGGAACAGGGATAGCGATGGCAGTGATAGTTATGGCAGTGATAGCGATAGCGATGGCGCACCGATTGAGAGATGGCGCAGCGATGGAACCAGCGTTGCGATGGCAGCGATAATGATGGCGCAGCGATGGAACCAGCGTTGCGCTGGCAGCGATAACGATGACGCANGATGGCGCAGCGATGGAACCAGCGTTGCGATGGCAGCGATAATGATGGCGCAGCGATGGAACCAGCGTTGCGCTGGCAGCGATAACGATGACGCAGCGATGGAACCAGCATTGCGATGGCAACGATAACGATGGCGCAGCGATGGAACCAGCGTTGCGATGGCAGCGATAACGATGGCGCAGCTATGGAACCAGCGTTGCGATGGCGCAGCGATGGCCAGCTCTGCGATGAGAACGATGGCGATTATCAGCGCTGCGATGGTCAGGCGAGCGCGACGGCTGCGATGGGGGATATAGCTTTGCATCGCGATGGCGATGAGCTAATCGCATCGATGGCGATGGTGCATGCGGCTGTGGCGTTATATCCTCCAGGTAGAGACAGGGCATCTGGGAATCTGTTCGGACATCGGACACAGAATATGACAATTGAAGTTATATAATTTTACCTTCGTCGTGCAGATCTGGATGTGCGACCACCGAACCAGCTATGGTGGAGGGATATCGAGCTAGGAAGAGCGAAGAGCGAAAGAGCGAACCGAACACAATGTGGCAACTGCGGACGGAGCGAAGAGCGAAGAGTGAGCGGGCTATGGCGGAAGGTGGTGGGGGCTGAAGACTAAATATCAGAACGCGAGCGGAAGCGATAGAGCGACTTGATCTTTGGAGCGACAACAAAAGGGATAACTCGAGGGCTGCAACGCCTTTTATACTTTGCTGCAGCAGGCCTCGCGTCAGGATCAAGGTGGGGCCGAATCGATTCGCATATCCAACCCTGGGCCCATAAAGCGCCATCAAGGTGGGGCCGAATCGATTCGCATATCGCACCCCTGGGCCCATAAAACGCCAGGGCCTATAAACGGTAAGGGGTACCGGAAATTGTCAGCCGTCGATCAACAATTTTCAACCGCGCAGATGAACGGAGCCACTGATATGCCAGTGGCCCCAAAATCTTCGTCAACTCCGGTGTGCAATGATGTGACAATTTTCGAAAACAAGGGGCAAACAATGTCATTTTCGCAGTTCTAATTTGGACCGTCGATCGACATAATCCGACGCACGAGGTCAGGCGCAAGAATGTATAAGGTGCGGCGATTCGTTGTGCGCCGAGGCGGTTCGTTGCACGCCGAGGCCAGTCGACGGTTTATTTCGCGCCGAGGCGAGGCGATTCGTTGTGCGCCGAGGTAAAAAACACCGAAAATCTATAAGTTCCGGTGTCGCTCTCATTCGGACACGGTACCATCGTCTCGTGCGCCAAGACTCCTGGAGGTTTGCTCAAGCTGCAAACTAACGGCTTGTACGACGAGTGCAGACTGCCTCTCAGAGGTGTTAAGGGTGTGCTGGTGACCATCAAGAGTTTCGGGGGGTACGGCTCGAACATGACGTTGTGCTCTCACGTCAAAGGCCTTTACGATGGCGGCAGCAAGTGTCTTCCATCGCCAGAGCAATATCTCGATCTCGCGATGATGGTGCTGAAAGAACGTCCGGTTCTTCCGCGAGAACATGTTTTTAGGCTTCTGCCACCCCATGACGGGTCGTCCGACTTGGCTCAAGAAACTCCAGGGACAACAGTGGGGCGCGGGAGTGCGATTCACGACGTTGGGGGTCGGGCCAAGGGGCTCGCGCGCAGCGTTCGCACGCAGGTCGGCCCGGATGCTCCTGGGAACACGTCAGACTTGCATTCTCAGGGTACAGGGACTCAACGGTTCGTTACTCCGAAACTCCTCAAGGTCCACTGCGGCGGCGACACGTATTCGCTTCGGATGAGATGAGAAGAGAATCCGGCAGATCGGGGCAAGATGTCGGAGGGAATGAGGCTGAAGGGATGGGCGCTGTCCGCGAAAGCTCTGGCGGGGAGCCGACTCCTTCGGAGAAGAAGCGTGAGCGACAGAGGATGGTGTGAGAGGAGGTGGCGGAGGGAACCCTCCGCATGAAGAGGATGAAAGGAAAATCGGAGGCGGTGATGGGCGGGGATGGAGGTGACGTCGGAGAACGTGCCTCGGGAAAGAGGTTGTCGAAGGAAGAGGGTGAGACGGCAAGTAAGAAAGCGAGGAGGTCCGGCGGTTTGACCATCCGCAAAGGACAAGCCATGGGTGGAGGAGATTTGGCTAATCGAGGCGCTGAGGCCGCGAGAGAACCTTCGGGAAAATCGAAACGGAAAGTGGCAGCTGAAGAAGGCGATGGCCAGAAGAAACCTCGAATGCGGAAGACTGTCGAGGCGGCGAGCGGTGGCGAACGGCCTGTCGGTGAGGAGTGCGACGAAGCGGCAGCGTTCTGGCTCGAATACGAGCGGAACGATGGCGATGAAATCGTGGAGAAGGAGCTCCCCGTCCAGCTGCTCATCGACCCCAGGAAGGTCTGCGACATCCTGCCTTGGGAAAGATATTACAACCACCGCAGTCTAAATCGCGAAACTGTGGACGACATCAAGGATGCGATGCTGAGTCAATTCCGCGAGAAAAAGTGGAAGATCTGGACGAAAAACCCTCTGGTTTTGGCACCCATCTACAAGCCGGTGACGCGTAGGCCGGAGAAAGCTGACAGGGCTTACAAAGATGTCTTCAAGCCAGAGGACAAGGACAAGTACTACTATTACCCTGTTAACGGACAACACACCGTGGCTGCTGTGAAAGAGTTGGAGGGTGAGCCAATATTCGATTTGTGGAAGATGCACTCGTGGCCGGCGAGAGTAGTGTGGTTCTCCGACCGAGATTTCGCGGGGTATAGGCAGGTCAGTCTCAACGAGAACACGAGACACAAGATATCTAAGCAACGATCGCAGAAGGCCGCGTTCTTGGACATGCGGGAGACATGGGAGAATGAAGGAAGGCCGGTGGCTATTCAAGGGAACCCTTCCGGCAAGGAGGCCAAAAAACGAGCGTTCTTCAAATTCCAAAAGCTGCTTTTGGGAAAGAGTCCGAACGAAGCTCACTGGACGTTGGCAAAAAAAAATTTGTTGCTCGCCGACAAGGAGTATGTCGCTGCCGTTGGCAATGCATTGAGGCAGTGGATGCCGCTCGTGACGGCCGGTGATGACGTTTTCCGCAAAGCCATGGAGTTCTACGCGAAATGGGCGGAGGGGAAGTTGTTGGGCGGTGACGGCAAGACGCCATTGTCGAGGTCGGGCAAATACATACCAGACAAATCTTCGGGTCTGCAAGCAATTCCGGAAATTGGCTTGAAAGGGGCGGCTGGTGAAACGAAGATGGGGTGGCCGGTCCGGGTCCCGCCGCCTCCGACCAAAAAGAAAATGCAAGCGGACGACAAGTTTTTCGTGGTTGTGAAGGAGCCAGACATGTTCTGTTGGCAGTGTCTCGCCGACATGACCGATGTCGAGAAATTGTCGATCCTCGACGACATTCTCGCACTAAGGGGAGTGTTCGTGCAATCCGCGGGCGGGCATCTGAAGTGTCAGCATAAACCTGGAATTAAAGACATGGTCGCGACGAGGAAAGTGGACCGTGTGATGCTCCGTATGTTCCACTACATCTTGTTCCTTGAAACGGAGGAGGACGAACGTGTTTGGCGCTACGGGAGCCATTTTTTCCGGACCAAGGGGCGGCTTCTGGAGGAGTTCGGGACGCAGGGCCTCACGAAACAGGTGTTGGTCGAAATGCGAAAGCATTTCGAGGGCACGGTGGAGTACGTGAACACTTGCAAATGTACTCTTCCACACGAGAAGGAGTCCCTCGACGACGCGAAGAGATTGTACGATGATGACAGGTTCCCGAAATCTTTCGAAAAGTTTGTCCGTTCCATCTTGCGACAGACGAAAGAAGAAGTTCGAGACACGATAAGGGCCAGCGGGGATGTGAGGCACATCAAATGGCCCGACCTTAACCGGGTGACCAGCCTTATTCCTTTCGCTTTCCCGCCTTCCCAAGCTCACAGTCATGTCACTGCGATTCGTGAGGTTGTGCGACATTACGTGTGCAACCTGTGGGTCCTCGATTTGTGTGATCCCACACTCCTCACAGACTGGTGAGAAGATGATTTCGCAAACTTGCAAGGCGTTCTCCAAACATGTTCGCCAACGCACTGGGCACTTGTGATCTTTTTCCCCTCTCGTTGGGAGCTTAGTTTCTTGAAAGGCATGGCCAGGCTTAGCGTCCATCACGTCAGGACAGGGAAGTGGGTACCCAATGCACAAAAGCAGGCCACTGTCCGGGAAGGCAATATGCCGGTTGAGGAGTGTGACCGCTTGTACGTGATATTTAATGGCGAGAAGCTGGAAGACAACACATTCGCAGTCTACCCGGCCAGTAGCCCGACAAAGGCTTCTCGTGCTCATTGTCCAAGTCCGGCCAAACACACGGTGGTGGCCCGCTCGAAAGTTGTCTGTTCATCGGACCCATCAGGACAGGTTGTGGCGTGTTTTGACGTGCCGAAAGAGGAAAGGTTCTCTCGTAGCATATGGGAGGACGGCGGCGTGACAAGTGCTAGTGGAGCTGCTTACGGGGAGATGGAGCGGAACCCGTCCCGTCTACTTGGTCTACTCGAAAACTTTTGCAAAGTTGGGCAAACTTTTTTTTTCTTTGGGAAGGCGCATGCGTCTGTCGTGTGGGAACTCCTGCGCACCGGTCGGAACGTCGTCGCGTTGGAGAAGGAGGCGAAAATTATCGATTACCTTCACGAGTTCGTGAAGACACGCGTTGCAGACACTCACAATGCTTGCGAGTTTGTCCAGACCACCGGCGAACGAAACTGGGATCCCAAACGTGACATGTATTGGAAATTGCCGGGGAACAAAAGAACAGAGGTTTGAGACTTCCTTTTCCAACCCGGACCGCCTGGTCCGACCGACCTCAAATACAGTCGACGGAGAAACCTGGTGTTCAGTGTGCTCAATGAGTACCACGATGCACCCAGGGAGTCTGTCTCGCATTTCCTGAGAAGGATGGAGCAGGTTTACTTCACGCTGGCCGAACCGCTCACCCTCGAAAACTACAAGTCACAGTTTGACGAGGAGGACCCTTTCAACGCTGAAGACATGGAGGAGCTGAGCGACTCCGAAACCTTCAATTTCGAGTCCATGCCACTTCCTCGGGTGGTTGGACAGGTTGGTGATGAAGAGGAAGGTGGCCCTCGGAGATATAGCACGTCCCCTGCCGGTTTGAAGCGTGTGTTTCGGGGCGAACCAGTCGACGACCAATCGTCTGATGACGGGGACGAAGAGAGAGACTATGATCGCGAACCTTGTGACAGGCTCCCTGAGGACCACGACACCTGGCAAAATACTTCTTCGGCAAGCATCACCGCGGTTCACGGCGGAGGATGTCTGGGGACACAACGTCGTCTGGCACCCGAGGATATTCCAACCTGCTGTGAAGAATGGAATGTGGGTCATGGCAATGAAGGAGGCCGATGGCAAGTGGAGTGGACTGAAGAGACTGGGAGCGGGTGCATGTAAGAGAACGGTGAGACATGCTCTGGTGGAGCATTTGAGTCTTATGAACCCCGAGAGGAACGATCCTGACGTCGCTGCGTATATAGAACAAAAGCTAAATGAGTTGTACGCCAACAACATGTTGGAGTTTCGAGCGCCTTTCTACACACTCGAAACGGCACCGTCTCGTGGCATTGACTGGCGCATGCCGCAACCTCCGTCGGGCGGTCAGCATCCGGGAGGGGGTGGAGGAGGAGACGAAGGAGACGGCAGAGGTGGCGGAGGAAACGGCTCACAATTTGCCGGAAAGGGGACGGGCGAGACATCGTCGGTAGAGAAGGTGTCCGGCGGAAAGGGGTCAGGCGGAAAGGACTCGGGCGGAAAGGGGTCGGGCGGGAAGGGGTCGGGCGGGAAGCATAGAACGTCCGGGAGTCCCCAGTATATGGAAACTGACCCCCACTGCGTAGGGAGTCGAGATTCTGACATGCGATACGAGGCCACCCTGAGGTCTGATCAAGTGCGAGTAGATTCGCACTTGTCTGCGAGGACTTTGCTTCCTGTTGCCGAGGAGAGTCCATCCTGCTGTGCCCAGCAGAGGTCTCCTGTGCTCAACACCTTGCTCCTAAAAGAGGGTGCGTCTTCGTTTTGCCTGGAGGGCGGGATACCTGCATTGCGAAGGAGCGAAGGTGCGACCTTCAGTTCCCTCGGCTCGGGCGACTGCCACAAACTCCGAATACATTCGGATTTGCTGACGTCGCCCTCCGCCATAAGTGCTCCTCACGCAACAGTTCCGCGGGGCCAAGAAAATGTGACTTCCTGCCTCCCGCATCTTCAGTTGGACACAGGGTTACCCTGCTCGCCTCCATTCTCATGTGTTCAGACTCGAGACTGGCGGTCTCGCGACGTGCTAGAGGGGCCCGCTCCAGGAGTGTTGGAGACCGGGGTTGGCGAGTACGAACGTCATACTCCTGGGGAAGACGAGCGCTCTCCGAGAACGCATGTTGTACATCAGGAAGAGGAGACTCAACGCTGGCAGTCTCGCAAAGTGTTGGTGACCGGGGATAGCGAGTGTGAACGTCATGCTTCGGAGGGTGCGTCCGTGGACACTGACAGAGAGAGTGCAGGACGTCCGGGGGAAACGCATGCTCTACAGCGGGGAGAGGAGTCACGAAGGATGCCGGCTCGGGAAGACGTGAAGGGGCTCCACTCACGAGCGCTGGTGATCGGGACGTCCGAAGAGGTTCTGCACAGTCGGTCGGTTGTGGCCACGACGCGAGAGGGTGTCGTTAAGGGAGGTCAGTGGACGTTCGTGCAAGCTCCCGTTCTTGGCGACGATGAAGACGTAAAAGAACCCGCAGTGGAAGCTCGGGTTCATGGCGATGAGAAAGGCGGAGAACCCGTGGTGGAAGGCGGTGAGGTGACTATCGGCATCCAGACGGATCCACAGCGGAAAGATGGTGATTCTTCGCCCACCCGTTGCGGTGAAGAACAGGGTGGTCGAGCGTCTGTCCTAAGCACCGCTCGGGGAATGGCGCTTCATGAAGCCATAGAGTTGGGTGACGACTCGGCTGCCACCGAGCTGGTTAGTGACTCAGGCGTGGCCGAGATGCAGAACGTCGAATCCTCTGTGGAAGGCAGTGAGGTGACCGTCAGCATCAAGATGGATCCAGAGCGGAAAGATCATGATTCTCCGTCCACCCGTTGCGGTGCAGAACAGGGTGATCAAGCATCTGTCCTCAGTACCGCTCGGGAAATGGTGCTTCATGAAGCCATCGACTTGCCAAGCGACTTTGCTGCCACCGAGCTGGTTAGCGACACAGTTGTGGCCGAGGTGCAGAACCTCGAATCGTCCGTGGACGTTGGCGCAGTGGCGCGACAGGAGGGCGAGTTCCCTCAAAGGGCTCCCGAGCACAGTAAAATTTGTGAATAGGAACACTCGCATATCTGTCACTACCCAGCTCTGTGTTCGTCCAAATTGATGTCATGGGCTAATGTACCTTTTACCACTTGTTAAAAAAAAGTTTGTGGGTTGTGGGTTGTTTTCTATGTTCTATAGGTGTGAGGTTGTCAATGTCACTGCCCATTAAGCCTGTAAAAGTCGTGAGCGAGAAATGTCTTTCAGGGAGGTCATTGGCCGCTTTACCGAAGAAGTCGTCAAGTGAAGGGTTGTTTAAAAGGGTCCAGATGCCTTGCCTTTTCCAGAGAGATGTCAGGGTTCTGAAGGCTTGTGGAATAGATAAGGAGGAAGGTTTGCGGAAACATTTGGCTGCGTCTATTGAAAGCGTTACTGCTTTGTCCGATGGGTCTGATGACGATGCCAAATGGGGTGTCTTGAAAAACCCGTGTCCTAAGTACATCGCCAAGGACACATTCAACAGTCGGGGATACAAGTTTTCTGGGAAAAGGGCAGACGGTTCTTAGCCATTTCGCCCCCGTGATTTTGATCACCCCTCACACTTGTTCGTGGGTGTTTGTGCAGTTGGGGCTACATCATGTTTTCGCGTTTCGTTGCCTACTGAGGAGCTTAGCGCTACGGACTTGAGAATGTTGCGGAATGTCTGTGGAGATTTCAGCAACGGCCACGAGGTGGTATCCTCGGTTCGCAAAGGGGTCAGTTCAATTCCGTTGAGCAGAAAAAGTTTTCAAACTCTTGTTCAAGGGGAATGGCTTTCCGACGAGGTAGTGGAGTGCTACTTGGCCTTGCTTGCCAACGCTGTGTTGCCTGGGTGTCCCTCTCTTTACATTTTCAGTCCCTTTTTCTATACCAAGCTCGTCTGTGGCGGCTATCGACATGATAGGGTTGCGAGATGGACAAAAGATGTGGATATTTTCTCGTACGAGATGGTCTTGATTCGTGTCCATAAACATGGAGTGCATTGGACCTTATTGTGTCTCCGAGAACAACACCTGGAGTACTACGACTCCCTTGTACAAGACGATGGCGGTTTTTCTTTCGATGTGATTGCGAACTTCACGCAATACCTCCGTGACGAAGCAATTTGTCATTATGGTCAAAAAACGAAAGTGGATCTCCAGGAGCCCAAGATGGTTGTTCGTGGCGTCCCTCAACAATCGGACGGGTCGAGCTGCGGTGTTTTCATGCTCACCTTCGTTTCATTTCTTGCACGCGGCTGTCCGCCACCATTTCCAATAGACCAAAGCAACATTCCAAACATCCGGCTGAGGATTGTGGTGGACATACTCCAAGGCGCTGAATGATACCACAGTTTTTAAAATACGCGTAGTTTTTTTTTCGAAATGCCATAAGCAGAAGTATGAATTTATTCCCACTTGATCTACCAATCCGCCGGTTCGAGCTGTGGTGTTGTTTTGATGAGGTACCGGATTGCAGTGGACGTTTTGGTCAAGTAAATGCTTAGGTGTCGATGTGAATATCCGAGCCTCGTGCTGTAGCAATTTTTTAAGGGTTCTTCATTTCGAGGAACCTGTCATCTTTACTCGTACGCCTTTCGGCAGCGCCGTGCTGCCTTTGTTTGTTTTCGGGTTGTTCTCATTGCTTGCCGCGCAACATCAACTAGAGGGTTGCAGCGGACGCTTACGTGAAGTACAATCTTAGATGCCGATGTAAATATCACAGCCACGTGGTGCAGTATCTTTTAAGTAGACGCTTAAATATGGGAT